ATGCACCACCATGCCTGGCTAATTTTTTATTTTTATCATTTTGGTAAAGATGGGATCTTGCTATGTTGATCAGACTGGTCTTGAACTCCTGGCTTCAAGTGATTCTCCCACCTTGCCCTCCTAAAGTGCTGGGATTAGAGGCATGAGCACTGTGCCTAGCCTCTTTTTTTTTTTTTTTCCCCAGCTGCAGAGCTCCCATATATTAAATATGACCAAACTGCTGTACCACAGATGGGGAGATGGAGGTCTAGGAAAGGACTCAGTCACATCCGATCAGAAGCAGCTAAAGAAGGGAATGTTTAGTTCTGGGGCCTAACCACAGTCTTCAAGTCTCAGAGCTGGCTCTAGTGAGGGGCTGGCAGGGCCAGGGGGCTGGTGTGGTGTGTCTCCTTGAGGGCAGAGCTAGGACTTATGGGCAAATTTCAGAGAGCAGGTTGGGAGCCAGCATGTGCAGGTAGGGCTGGGCAGCCACTTGGCCACTGAGAACATCTGAATGAGTCCCAATGTTCTTTTGATCCCAGCTTCCCCTACTCACTCCATCCTGCCCAGTTCCCCCTGCACTGAGAGCTTGCTTTTCCCAGTACCCTCAGGGTATGCCACAATTTCCCATCCACTTCCTCATGGACCCACTGAGAGGCAAGGTTCTTCTTCCCATTTTGCAGACGGGGATATGGAGACTCAGAGCCTTGAGTTCCCTGCCCCAAGTCACCTGGCTCTGGGCAGTTCAGTTCAGCAGTGGTGTCAGCATATGCTGTGTACCAGGCCCTATCCACCAAACTGAGTACCAAGCAGGGCCCAGTTCCTGCCCAATGAACTCTGGCTCCTTGTGGCCTGGAGAGTGACTGTGGAGCTCACTGTGGTACCCCAGGGCCTGGCACAGAGCAGACACTCTGTGAACATGTGTAATGAACACATGAATCAGTGAATGGGGAGCTTAGTGGAAGGATCTCGAAGTCTAGAGCTAGAAAACTGAGCTAGCGCCCCCCCACTCATGACCTTGAGCATTAACAAGCGCTACTGCTAAGAGTCACCTGTATGCTGTCCAGCCTCAGAGTCCCGAGGATTCTCGCAAAGGCATCCTGAACCCCTTTTATGGATGAGACCAAGGCTCAGAGAAGACAAGTTACTGGCTCCAAGTCATCCAGAAATACATTTAGAACCCAGTGTCCATCATTAGGGCCAGGGCCTTGGCTTCCCCTTCTGCCCAGCAGGATAAGCCCCACGCACAGCCCTGACATAGCTGTCCCTGACAGGAGGCCTGAGTGTGGGCGACTTTCGGAAGGTGCTGATGAAGACAGGCCTGGTGCTGGTGGTGCTGGGCCACGTGAGCTTCATCACGGCCGCACTGCTCCATGGCACAGTGCTGCGCTATGTGGGCACCCCCCAAGATGCTGTGGCGCTGCAGTACTGCGTGGTCAACATCCTCTCTGTCACTTGTGCTATCGTGGTATGGCCAGGCTGGGAGGGTGGTTGGTGGGAGGAGGCTGGAGGGGGCTTGAAGGGTCTTCAACAGGTCCCCACCCAGAGCCTGTGGTGGTAAGCAGAGAACCTCAAGGACTAACCCTTTGTCTGCCACTTACCAACTGCCCAAGTCACTCAACTTCTTCATCTATAAAATGGAGATGGTAACAGTGTTTACCTCTGAGGGTCCTGATGGGTACTGATGAGGTCATCCACAGAAAGTGCTTAGCACAGTGTCTGGCATGTTGTTAGCGCCCACTACTGTGAGCTAAGATGATTATTACATCGAGAAATATCCACAGCACCACTGGACAGAAGAAAGGAGCAGGAGTTGAGCTTGGGAGGGTGCTGGAGGGTTGCACGGAGTGCCGGCCTCTGACCTGGGTATTGATGGATGAGCAGGAGTTCACAGACAGGCTGCCATGACCAGAACCTATGTATGTGGCATGTTGAGGCTAGCAGAGGCAGGAAAGGAAGCTGAGATGGCATTCCAAGTACAGAGAACGGGAGATGGGAAGGCTGGAGGTGGAAATGGCTAAGATCTGTTCTGGAGATTCTGAGAAAACCAATTTGGCAGGAGCTTAGCATTAGGCCTGGTCTGTAGCAACTGCTCAGTGAATGGTAGCCATGGTTGTGACTGGATATCAGTACCTGTTTGACTAGTACATGAATGGAGGGGTCAGGTAGTCTCGAGTTTCTAAAGCTCTTTCCTGCCGGTCAGCAGAAGTGGCCACAGCCTCGGGGGAAGATCTTCCCGCACATCAGTGTCTGAGTTCCATCCCTGCCTCCTCCTGGCTGAGAGACTTACTTCTCTCTCTAGGCCTGTTCCTCCCTTGCAAAATAAAGCTCAGACAGCCTGCTGGCCTCAAGGCTTGGGAGAATGGGGGTCATAGGTCCCAGCAAGAAGGAGAGGCTCTGTTGGTGGGACGGGGCTGGGCTGGGCGGATGTGTGCAGGGTCCTTGGAGTTCCTCTGACTAATACTGTTGTGAGGAACTCAGGGAAGGCAGTGGGCTCAGGGTGAGGAGGTCCACCAGAATGGGCTTTGAGCTGGACCACTTCAGCCTTCCCCTCACTTAGTTAATCCTCACTGCTCCCAGCAGCTGGGGGCCATTATTATCCCCATTTCACAAAAGAGGAAACCAAGACTCAGGGATTCACCCAACTTCCTGCTGATACACAGAAGTCAACCCGGATTGGAACCTATTTGTGTCTGACACCAAAGCCAGTGTCCTTTCTGTCAGCTCATCCTGCAGAGCGGGGCTAAGCCCACAGAGATTGAGGCACTGTGTTGTGGCTCTCATGTAAACTAAAGACATGCTGGGCCTGGAACCCAGGACCCCGTCATACCACCTGCCTCAGATGGGTCCAGCCCAAGCCTGGTCCAGTGAGGAACATCAGGAGGAAGACTGGATGGGTGGACCCCAAAGATCCAGAGGGCGGCTGTTGGGCTGAACTGTGGGGTAGCCCCACCCCTTGGCATCGAGGCTGGTTAGGGAAACGTGTGCAAACCTGAGCAAGGCTTGCAGGATCCGCAGGGACAGAGGAGCAGGAAGGGTGTTCCTGGTGAGAGGGTGCGTGGGCAGCGTCCTGAGCAGGCTGTGTATAGGCATCCACATCCAGAGCAGTGAGGGAGGACGGTACCCCAGGTGGGGCTGAGAAGCCAACAGGGTTGGGGCTGGGGTCTACTCACTGAGAACCTGGAATCATTGAAAATACCCCCAGGGATTTAAAATTCTACTCTATAACATGTCTTGGTTTGTTTCAATGTAACAATTTTGATTTTAGTTCCTTGCTAACTGGGTTAGTTTCTTCCACAATCTTTTCCATTCCAGAAAGGTGTGTCCCATTCATACCCTGGCAGGCCCTGGTGGCCCCAGGATACATGAACCTGCTTGAGACACAGCCGTAGGCAGTGGGGACTCGTGGAAGGTTGTAGAGAGGGAGTGACAGTTTTAGAAACATCATGTCAGGCTGGACTATGAGGAGGCAGATGGAGATGTGAAGCCCAGGCTAAGCAGTGGGTGAGGGGTGGGGGAGTCTGGAGGGCAATGGTTGGCGCCGGTGAGATCATTATCCCAGAGTGGCCCTGATCCCCTGCCCCTGCTCCTCCAGCCAAGGAGTCAAGGCTGACTTGGGCCTTCCCTACAGGTCATCACCTCAGGCATCGCAGCCATCGTGTTATCACGCTACCTCCCCAGCACCCCCCTGGTACGTGTTGCCTCCTGGGATAGGGCTTTGAGGGAAGGGTAGGGGCAGCAGCCACCCACCAAGGGCCTGGCCTCCTTGAAGGGGGTAAGGCTGACCCTCAGGGAGGTCAGAGCTGCCCATGGGGGCCAAGCACAACACCTGTTGACCAGTAGCCTCCCCCATCCAGCGCTGGACAGTGTTTAGCTCGAGCGTGGCCTGTGCTCTTCTCTCTCTGACCTGTGCCCTTGGCCTCTTGGCCTCCATCGCCGTGACCTTTGCCACCCAGGGCAAGGCACTGCTGGCTGCCTGCACTTTTGGGAGCTCTGAACTACTGGCCCTCGCACCTGACTGTCCCTTCGACCCCACACGCATTTATGTGAGTATCTAGGCCTGAGGTGGGGCACCAGGCCCTCGCAGGGGTGGGAAAGGTTCTTGGAGTCCACCCTCCACCCCCAACTCCAGCCAGCCATCTCTGCCCCGTGCCCCACAGAGCTCCAGCCTGTGCCTCTGGGGCATTGCCCTAGTGCTCTGCGTGGTGGAGAATGTGTTTGCTGTGCGCTGCGCTCAGCTCACCCACCAGTTGCTGGAGCTGAGGCCCTGGTGGGGGAAAAGCAGCCACCACGTGGTAAGTTCCCTCCACAGCCCTGACTCCCCGAATTTCCTGGGATCCCCTGCCAGGGTACCCAAGCTGCTCTGCCCCACCCCTATGTAGGGGCCCCCACCTTGAGAAATGGGGCAAAAGTTTTCTTCCCAGGAGCAAAGGGGGAGGCTTGGAGGCTCAGAGAGGTGAGATCTCCCAGCAGAGTCACACAGCTGACACCTGGCTCTCCTAGGGCCCAGGATGAGTCTTGAGGGAGGGGCAGGGGTGTCTGGGCTCACACTGGGGGCATTCCAAGGGTCTAGCCTGGCTCTTGCAGTGGAGTGGGTAGTGATGCCCCTTTGCCCCCAGAGATCCTTCCAGCCCTCCCCTCCTTCCATTTCCTGGATGTCCTGGAAGGGGAGACCCAGGCTGAGAACCAGTGGGTTTGGCAGTCTCCTGTGTCTCTGCAGATGCGGGAGAACCCAGAGCTGGTGGAGGGCCGTGACCTGCTGAGCTGCACCAGCTCTGAGCCTCTGACCCTCTGAGAGATGATGTCCTGCCCAGGCCCCATGGCCACTAGGACCCTGCAAGCAACTCTGCTCTGTGACCAGGCCAGGATTCCTGGAGCTGGCCTGAGAGGGCTCAATGGACCCTCGGGGACCCAAGTGGGGCTTTCAACCCCTTCCCCCACCATCCAGCCCACTGCACTGAAATGAGACTTTATTCTGAAATTATTAAAAAGAACAGAGATGCTCCATTTGGCTGCATGCGGGGGGGGGGGCGAATGGGGGGACAGAGGGGAGGACAGGGGCTCAGCCAGGGGGCCGTGTCTCTTTCTCACGTAGGACGCTGTGCATGGGGCTCTGGGTGCATCTGCCCATCTGTCTGTGGGCCTGTATGTGTGTGAGAGGCAAAACACAGGAGCTCCGTGGGTCTGTGTGTATCCAAGTGCTAAAAGGCAGGCGGGCTTTCTGGGACCCACAGCTGGCGGGGCTAGTATCCTGGAAGGTTTCACTTGGTGGCTTGGCCTGGGGACCAGCAAGGGCTAGGGTGGGAAGGGTGGCTCAAGGAACCCTCTTTCTCCAACTCCACACCCCTAGAATCCTTCTCTCCCCTCCAGATAAAAAGGCTCCTCCCCTGGGCATGACTCCCCCCACCCCCCAAGCTGAGATCTGCAAGACGGGGAGACTGCCCCTTTGGGAGAGGTGTCTGGCCTCGGGGCTGGTGGGTGGGTAAGGGGACCTGACTGAGGGGCAGACCAACCCAGCCTGTGTCTCTATTGTTGCCTCTGGGATTGGGGGGTGCTAACTGCTTACTTGCTTTGGCCTGGGGGTACCGCAGGGTTCCCTTTTCCGGAAGCCCCCCACAGAGCAGACCCGGGGAGAAGGGCTTCCCCAATCTGGCCCCCAGCCAGAATACACACAAGGGAGAGGAAGCTAAGAGCCGGGAGGGAGACGGTGAAGGGAGGGAGGAAGGGGGAACTGGCTCCTCTCAGAACTGGGAGGCGCTGCTGGGGTCGCACTGCAGCAGGCGCACGATGGACGGGTCGCTTTTGGCTCCGCGGATGAACTCCTCCAGGGACAGCTTGCCTGCAGGGCGAGGGGAGCGGTGATGGGGGAGGAGGCGGCAGCCAAGTGAGGGGAGGCGGAGCGGAAAGGGAGGGAGGGAGAGGCGCCCGCCCCGTCCACCCCGTCCACCCCGTCCACCCCGTCCCGCCCCTGCCCCTCACCGTCGTTGTTTGTGTCCATTTGGCGGAAGATTTTCTCAGTCCTCTTTTCCGGGGTCGACTCGTCCTCCGGCATCTTCATCACGGACGAAACCATCTTGTAAATGGCCTGGGGGCGGGAGGGGAGGTGGGGAGTGAGAGGAGGCTGCCCGAGCCCCCACCCGCAAGATTCAGAGGCGCCCCCGGGCTCGCTGACGTTTGCTGCCCCCGCCTGGGCAAGGTGGAGTGGGGAATTACGGAGGCGTGGGGAGCCGGGGGCTTCGGGAAGGCGTGTCTGGGAAGGCTTCCCAGAAGAGGGGGCTATCGGGCGGGCCCTGCCGCGCTCCCTTGGAGAGCTGGGTGGGAAAGGCGCAAAGACGCCGCAGGTGAAAGCTCCGAGCGGGCGCCGGGAATTTGGGGGCGTAGGGGGTCAGGAGAGATGTTGGAGGACACCGGGGCCCTACAGTGGAGGGCCTGGAGCGGCGGGCTTACGAGCGCGTGCCCGGGACGCGAGTCGGTGGTAAGTACCGGGCTGGCACCCGGGCCCAGGGCGGCCGGCGCTCGGTGGTCGAAAGGGGGCGCCGGGCCAAGGGGGCGTCACTGCGCTGCCGGGCGGTCTGCGGCCGGCAGGGGGCGCGGCACGGGCTGGAGGGCCAGAGGGGCGGGGAACAGTATGCAAATGAATGCAAATATGCATCTGCAGCAGGCAGGGACCGCCAGGCTTGGCTGGGCTGGGCAGAGGGCGGCAGCCGCCACGTGCAGTAGCTCCCGAGGTGACATGAAAGAGAGTTCTTGCGCTAAATGTACAGAGCACGCACGTAGGGCTTGGCCTGTAGCCTGGGTCACAGTGCCCCGGAGCTCAAGGACCGAACCTGTCTCCCCAATCTTCCAGCTTTACCCGACCGACACTTCCTCCAAGAAGCCTCCCTTCTCCCATCCCATAAACTTCTGCTGTCTCAGATCCAGCTTCAGCCTCCGCACTGGTCTCTTCCAGCCTGTCCCTCGGGTCTGTCCCCTATGCTGCCTCTGAAAGCTCTTTCCAAACACAGATCTCCACTGTTACGTCCCCAGCCCGCACACCACCCCCTCACTCCCGTCACACACAGGGCTCCCCTTAGGCTCGCCTTGCACCCAGCTCCTTCTGCTGCCTCCCACTCCTCCTTGGGACTCAGTTTACAAGCTGTTTTCTTAGCGAGGTCTTCTCCAACCCAGGCTAGGTCAGGGTGCATATGGGCCCAGAGCCCGGTGGACTTTTCCTTTGCAAACATCTCTCCAGAAGAAATTATGTCTTTGCAGGGATGTTCCTGCAAACGTGGACGTCTAGCTAATGTCCATATCCCCAGAACCTGGCACCAGGCAGGGACTTCCCTATTTAAAAGCCATTGGCATTTCCCACTGCCCTCTGTTCCAAGTTCAAACCATTTGGCCTTTGGGATTTAAGATGCTTTACAATCTGTCCACTGCTGACCCTCCTCCATCAGGCCTCCCCTGGCTGGGTGATCCTGCCAAGAGCCAAACACCCCTGACCCTTCAGATTCTGCAGCATTTACAGTCTTTGCCTGGAATAACAATACTAACTACCACTTATCAGAGACCTGCTCTGTGCCAGGCACTTTACACGCACTATTTCTAAACCTCGCACAAGCCCTGAAAAACAGGTATCATGATCCCTGTTTTCCAGATAAGAAACTGTGGCTCAGAAAGGAAATTGATGGCGGAGACTCAATTTGTACCTGTTCCCTCTTAGCTGCTGGAGGGATGCTTGGGCAGTGTGGGGTGGTGACAGTCAGCAGGGCCTGTAGCATTAGACCCAGTCTGTAGTAACTGCTCAATGAATGGTAGCCACAGTTGTGACCGGATATCAGTACCTGTCTGATGAGCACATGAATAGAGGGGTCTGGTAGTTTCAAGCTTCTAAAGTTAGATGGACCTGGAGTGGCGTCCTGGTTCCACTACTCACTAACTATGTAGCCTTGGACACATACTTTTCTGTGAGCCTCAGTTTCCTCAGATTAAATGAGATTATGTGTGAGGAACTGTGGCTGGCTAGAGTGGGTGGTCAGTAAATAGCTTATATTACAGTCATTATTCATCCTCTACATCCTCAAGTCTTCCCTGCCACTCAGTCCTCTGGCTCCCAGATGACACCTTTAAACCCCTGTCACTGAGCTTGTCAGTGTGACCTACACATCTGTCTCCCCCACCAGAGTGGGAGCCCCAAGAGGCGCAGTCTCTTCCTCTCCAGTGTGTCCACTAGCTGGCACAGGGCTGTGTCTTGAGAAGAACTGGGCCAGTGACCACTACCTCTGTGACAGCCTTCTCCTGGGCCTGCTAACTAATTGTCTGGAATTGCTGCTCACTCATGGTTTCATGGGAGCCGACTTGTCATTAATCAGGTACTGGGGCTTGCAGAGCTCTGTGGGTACCAACCATCTGGGGCCACTGGGCCGCCAGAAAAGAAGCCAGGGCCTGGATAGCAGAAGCCACCAGAAAGGGGTCCTGAGGATGCCCAGGGAATGGGTCTAGCTTGACTGATGCCCTGGGCATGGTACTCCAGCAGGACTGGGGTTTACCAGTACATACCAGTGCAACACACTAAGTGGTAAAATGCAAATGTCCCTCCAGATTGGTCAATACCCAGCTGCTGTCCATGTCTGGGTGATCCTTCACCATCCTGGCCACCTGACCCTACCCTCAGAACCCCCAGATCCCCCTACCATCGAGCAACTAAAGAGTCAAATGTCTGACCCACAGGAGTCCATGGCAAACATTAAGGCTTTCCCCCTTCTAGCCATAGGTATGGGGAGGGCATCACATCTCCACCTAGAGAGCAGGCCCAGACCTTAGCAAAAGGAGAAGCCAAAGTCAAGAGTCCAGCAGTGGCTGGGGCAGCAGTCTATGGAGCTGAGGAATCAGAAGGGAAAGGATTCAGAGATGCAGAAGGAAAGGGGGCTAGAGCTTGTGCAAAGCTGCGTGACAGGATTAGTCAGGGCACATTTCAAAGATGCTGAAAAGGCCCTTCTGGCTAGAGCAGAGGATGTACAGAGGAGAAAATAATAACAGACAATTGCTAATGTCTACCAAGTACCAATTATATGCCAAGCCCTCCGCTCGAGTCCTTATCTCACTCTATCCCTGCAATAGCCTTGTGAGGCAGGGGCTTAACACCCGCACTTTACAGGTGAAAAAACCCATAAAGGCTTAGGAAAAAGGCAGGCAAGGAAGTGGACTGGTAAAATAGAACCAGAGCCCTGGCCATCTTCAAGGCTGGTCTGAGGGGATGGGTGCTCTGGGAGGTTTCTGAAATAAAGCTAACATGTAGCACACTTAAACTTGTACTAACAAAGGGCTTTTATATCTGGTCCTTAAATGTCCTTGTGAAGTCAGTATCACCATACAGATGAGCAGCCTAAGAGTGAAGGCCACGTCCAGAATTGGAAGCTAGACCTCCTGGCTATGAGTCCAGAGCCCTCTCAGTAGACAGCTCTGAGTAGTGGCCAGCCAGAGCTTGTCTCCACTTATTTGCTGGGTGACTTTGGGTATATCACTTCACCTCTCCGAGCCTCATGGGGTTGTTGTAAGCATGCACTGAGCTCATAAGCACCTCACTCAATGCTAAGCTCATAGTGGGCCCTCAATCAATTAGAAGATAGCTGGGTATCCAGATGGAATGTGGACAGTAGTGCCAGATGGCCCTCTCACACAGGCTGTGTGGCCTCAAGCAAGTGCCTTTATCTCTCTGAGCATCTGTTTCCTTTGGTGTAAATGAAGATCAATTAGACATAACTGGACTGTGCTCTGCAGAAATGTCAACTCATAAAGAAAGGATGAGGAGCTGTTCCAGATTAAAGGGGGCTAAAGAGACATGAGAACTAGATGCAATGCATGACCCCAGGTCAGGGCCAAAAATGCTATAAAGAACATTATGGAGACAGTTGGCAAAATTGGAATATGGTTGGTAGATTAGATAATAGCATTGTTTCTATGTTAAATATCCTGGCTTTGGTAATCATATTATGGGTTATGTAAGAGAATGTCCTTATTTTTAGGAAATATATCCTAATGTATCCGGGGTAAAGGGCCAATGTTCAGAACAACAAGAAATGTTACACACTAGTGTGCACACATGCACACGCACACAGATAATGATAAAGCAACTGTGGCAAAATGTTAATTGGCGAATCTGGGTAGAGGGTATAGGGGAGTTTTCTCAACTTTTCTTTAAATGGGAAATATTTTCTAATAAACAATTTTTTAAATGGGATTGCAAGAATAGCCCCTGCCACCACTTGCCTACAAGGCCTGCTGAGAGGATCAAAAGGGGTGGTGGGTGCAAGCTGCCGGGCCCTGTGCCTGGCATTCTGAGGGGCCCAGGGGCCCACCTGCACGATCTCCAGCATCTCCTCCCGGCTGATGTAGCCATTGCCGTCCAGGTCATACATGCTGAAGGCCCACATGAGCTTCTGCTCCAGGCGGCCGCGTGAGGTCACGCTCAGCGCAATGATGAACTCCCGAAAGTCTATGGTGCCATCGCTGTTGGTGTCAAAGGTGCGGAAGACGTGCTCGGCAAACTTGGAGGCGTCACCATAGGGAAAGAAGTTGGCGTAGATCTTCTTGAACTCGTCCACGTTGAGGATTCCTGTGGGGCAGTCCTTGAGGAAGCCCTTGTACCACTCCTGCAGCTCCAGCTCTGAGAACTCCGTGTTCTCCCGCAGGTCCTGCAACATCTCGGGCCGCAGCTTGCTGTTCTGCTTGCCCATGGCCGCCGAGCCAAGTCCCACCTGGGTCCCCAAGGGGGTCAAGGGCAGAGAGGAGTGATCAGGCCCTCCTGGATACTAGACACTGCTCCAGATGGCTCCCCCTGCCGACAGCCATCCCCACCTCTCGTTTGACCCAGGGAAAGAGAGGAACTGGCCCAAGGTCACACAGTCTAGACCCAGGCATCCTGTATCTGTGCCATGCTCCACACCATCTCCCTGGATCATACACTTTCCTGGGAGAGGGAGGAAGGGAAGGGGGGGTTCACATTTACTGAGGCCCTTCTCGGTGCCAGCCACTAAGCCTTCACAAATGCACACCATTTCACCCTCACGACAGGTGGTACGGGGACTTTCCCCATTTTACAGATGAGAAGGCAGACTTACAGATGTGAGGTGGCTGCTTCAGGTCACACAGCCATGGCATGATGAGGCTGACTCCTAGAGTTGCCCACAGAGGTGCAGAAAAACCTTCTGATCCTCCTCCGTCCTACCCACTGCCTTCTCATTGCCTCATATGTGCCTGTTCAGCACAAAACATATCCGCAGCCCAGACACTGCCCTGTTCTCCCTCTGACAGGTGTGCCCAACAAGAGGCAGCAGAGGGAGGTGTTACTGTGGGCTCCAGAGTCAGATCACCTAGGTTTGAATCCCAGCTCCTCCTCTTACCAGCTACGTGACCTTGGGCAAGTTCCTTAAACTCTCTCTGCCTCATCTTTAAAGTGGGGTAATAACAGTACTTACCTAAGAGGATAGTTGTGGGGATTAAATTAGTTAATAAGTGGGAAGCACTTAGAACCATGGCTGCACAGATAAGTGCTAGATAAGTGTTAAATAAATAAAAATGACTTACATATACCCAGGTGCCGCAAAACTCATGCAAAAACTGTGCAAACAAACATATACCGATAACTATATGCTTCATAGCTCACCAGATCCACACCCTGGATCCCATGCCACTCACGTACCAGCCCACGCCCACCCATGGGTCAGCATGCCTCCACACATGACGACATTCCCTCTGCTCCGCAACTCACACGAATCGACACATGGCACCACGCACAACTCCCATACCCTGTGCATCAAGACACACCAGCCCACGACCCCACATGTCTCACACATGCCATCACACGCCAACTCGCATGCCGACACCTCTCACATGGCCAGCTGCACGTGGGACCTTCAGGCACCCTTGCCATTTTTCTTTGTTTTCCTTCAGTTTTCCCAGGGGTGCTGCCAGGTCCCAGGAGAGGGAACTGCAAACCTTCCCAGACCTGCTGGGGGCCCCTTTTCCAAGGAGACCCCCCCCAAGCCCATCCAAGCCTCCCCAACACTTACCTTTCATCTAGTCCTGAAAGGCCCCCTGAGTGCAGGTTAGATTGTGGAGACTGAGTAGAAGGCAATGAAGAGGAAACAGCCAGCCAGTTCTGCACAGGAATGTAGGGGTGTGTGCAGGTGACCCCCACCCACTTGGGGCAAGGAGGGGATTATTTGTGCATACATGTGCATGAAGCTCTGCACACATGTGAATGGGTGTGTTATGAGTGCATATGCTCATGCATAATGTGTGCCGCTGGTTTTTGTATTGCATTCGCCTGCCGTGTCTTTCCATCTATGTCCCTGCATGTGCCTCAGATGTGCATGTGATCAGGTATGCACCCGTCACAGCGTGAGGGAATGAGCCCGTGTGGTCATTTGGAGGACCTGTGTGTGTCCTAGGCGGTGTGTCACATGCATGTTTCTGTAAGTTGGTCCCCCTCCTTTCTAGACCAGCCTCTATGGCCCAGGCTAAGGACCCACCAGACAAGCGAGTGGGAAAGGGCTAAGGAAATGAGAAGGGCTGGGGCATGTCCCTCACTGCCCTCCTCAAGGTCCAAGGAACTGGGTCACCGGGGTGGGGGCAGAGAGATGCGCAGAGCAGGAGAGCTCCTCCAGTGCCCCCTCCGCCCTGCCACTCTCGGAGTTGCCCCCCCCCCGGTTGGAAGAAGATTCAGCTGTCCGCAAAGACCTCAAGTCTCCCATATGGGAAGACCCCCCTCAGCTCGACCTGAGAAGCCAGCCCCGGGGACCAGCTCCAAACCTCCCTCAGCTCTGGCCCCCAGCCCCCGCCTCCATCCGCTCAGCACTAGGACAGCGCCCGGCGCGTGGCCCCTCCTGGAGGGGGCGCTCCCGGGCGGTCGAACGCGGCTCCTCGGGGCTGGCCACTCGGCGTTCAGGACCCTGGAGAGCACCACGCGCTCCCCGGTCCCCTGCGCCCCCCGCCACCCCGGGACAAGGATTCCCGGGAAGCCCGGGAGCGGCGGTGTTGGGAAGCCCTGGACGTGGGCCCCCGGCTCCGGGAACCCCCTGCCCTCATCCCCTGGCCCCGGCTGGAGCTGCCCCCACTCACCCAGCGACGCGGAGACACCGACTGCGCAGGGAAGGCGGCGCTGCTGCGGCGCGCGCGGCAGGGGCGGCCGGAGGGGCGGGCGGGACTGCGAGGGAGACGCCCCGCAGCGCTCACCCGGAGCCCCTCCCCTGAGGGGGTCCCCGCCAGCCCTGGGGGTGGGGGAGCGGCGCGCTAGGCTCCGCCCCCCCCGCCCCGGAGAGAGAAGGGGACGCCCTCGGTTCCCCGGCCCCCCTCGAGGGAGCAGCCTACCCGGGGAGGAGGACCACGGCGCCCCTCTCCTCGGCACCTCAGCTCTGGTGGCCGGAATGGAGGGACAGGGTAGTGCCAAGAGGCCTCTCTACTGAGCCGGGGGCGATCCCCGGCCACTCCGCCCCCGCTTCCTTCCCGATGCCCACCTGGGCTCTGAGCCGCACGTCGCTTCGAGGGCCGAATCGGCACCCTGGGCACCCTCCCCGCTCCTGCGCCTCAACTCTCAACTAACGGAGCTGGGAGCTTTTCGGGAAGGGTGGAGCGCCCATTCCTCCAGCTACTGAGGTCTTCGGGGTGGAGGGCCAGACACGCCCCCAGACACGGGGTAGGGGGTCAGACACGCCCCCTTCCCCACCTCCACCTTGGACGACTCCAGACCTCACCCCGACCCCCTCTCAGAATTAATCCCACCTCCCAACTTTGGTATCAGCTGCTCCTCCCACTCCCCCCTCCAATCAAGGAAACCCCCTCCCTTCCTCCCTCCCCAGCCTCTGACTGTGCAGGCCATGACAGGAGAGCAGAACATCTTCTGCCTGGGGATCCTGTGGCACCTGCCCACTGCCTGCCGAGCGCACAGCTCCTCTCCAGAGTCGATGACCCCCAGCCCAGCTCCTCCTGCCCCCAGCCTCAGCAACAATCTCCGCATGCTGGACTGAGATTTTGTCCTTTTTCCATTTCTAGAGGTTGGTCCTTATTGTCCCCATGAAGAAATGGGCCCAGAGGGTTCAAATAATTTTTCCAATGTGTGCACCCTCATCCATTCATTCCACAAATACATATAAAACACTAGTTCTGCAGCCAGCATTGTTCTATCTAGGTAATGGGACTACAGACGCAGACAAAAACAATGGACACAATATTCATGTTGATATTAGACATGTGTTTTTAAACGTTGGGATTGGGGTGTGGCAGTTAGAATGGTAACTGCCATTGGGGCCATCTAGAGCCTAGGGGTCTATGATAATGACTTTAGGCTTTTTATTCCAGATGAGATGGGAAGTCGTGGGGGCTTTGAGCAGAGTGAGAGGGTGTGACCTCTATGTGGTCAGCTTCCTTGGGCTATTATGTCAAGAACAGACTTTGAGGAGTTGGGGGCAAGGTGGGAGCAGGGGCCATTTCAGGTTGAGAGATGGCCGGAGTGAGTCTGGTTTCTGGATTTACTTTGCAGGTAAAGCTGGCAGCATTAGCCATCTGCCCGGAGGGCCCTTCCCAGCCCGGAGTTTCTTCAGTATCGGCAGCTCAGCCCCTTCTGGCTCCCCAGGGCTCCGCCTCCAGGCTCCCACACCAAGCCTCTCAAGTCCTCAGAGTCTAGCCTTAGTCCCTCCTGCTTGGAGGCAGGCGGGGAGGTCTCAGCTGGAGGAACTGAGGAGCCAGGCTGGGGTGGGGTGGGGACAGCTGGGCTCTCCGGAACACCGGCTCCACTGTGTGCCTTGGCTCTGATGTTGGGACCCCCAGTGGAGGCGTGAGAGACGCCAGATGAGCGTGGGTGGTTCCCAGCTGCCTCCTGCGTGAGGACCTGGGGGCTGGGAGAGACTCTCTGCTCAGCCCCCACCCCAGGGCCCTCCAGTGGCAAGCTCCCTCCTGTTTCCCCACCAGGCCTGGGGGGCCAGCTGTGCTGGGGTCAGGGAGACTGTCCTGCCCTGCCTCACCCCCTCCCCAATCACCCCTTCCTCTCTCTCCTGAGTGGTCTGGATCCTCCTCTTTAACCTTGGGGGACTCGTTTTATCCCCATCTTGGGCTGCTCAGCTTCCTCTCTGCCTTCTCCCCACTTTCCCATCTCAGTCTCCTGTAGGCTCACCCCCTCAGGGGCTGACTTCTTCCCACCACCAGCACCCCCACCACCAACCACCTTTCTTCTTTGAGGGTGACTCTGGTGCCCTGCCTTCAGGACCCCCAGTCTACATTCTGTCTCCCGGGTAGATAGGGGTTTTGGAAGGCAAGGCCATGTCTCGCCTCCCCACGAGCCCCCTCCTGCCTTTGTCTTTCCCTGTGCCTAGACTGTGTAGGGTGGTTCTGGAGGCAGAGTGTGGACCCTAGTGGATTCTGCTGCTACTTCCCATCAGCCACCTGCACCTTCCAGGGGGACCAAGAAGCATTGGAAGGCCACCCCCCAACAGCCAAAAAAGGTTCAGGGCTCCCCACACTGCACAACACGGCACTTGGTCCAAGCCCTAGTGCCCTAAGATATGGCCATGAAAAGGGGGGCCGAGAGGCAGCCAGGCAGCAGCCCTGGGTCCCTCGCTCTGGACAACCTGGAGCAAGTCTCTTCCCCTTTCTGAGCAGAGAGATCAGATGGGTGATGTAAGCATGAATGGATGAGGCCTCCTGACCCTGGAAGCCTCTTGTGTGTGGGGCGGTGTCCCTGCTGGTGATACTTAGTCCCTCCCACCTCAGACTGAGGCACCCAGGAGGAGGGAGAGGCAGGGGTGGGGTAGAAGCAGAGGCAGGTAATTGAGAGAGCCAGGCAGTAGCAGGTCCATGGAAGGGCGAGCAAGTTCCAGGGGAGGGGACTTTCCCAGCATCTGAGGAGGGAGGAGAGGGGCACATAAATCAGGGCTGACTACCCTCCTCTACCACTAACAAGGGAGGGACAGAACTGCTCCCGGGATACCAGAGAGACAGACGCAATATCTCAAGCGCCTACAGTGTGCAGAGCGCTCTGCACACGTCACCTCACTGGATCTGCAATGATCCCCAGGAATCAATAATGTTAACTGCCATTTTACAGATAGGAAAACTGGGGCTCAGAGAAGTAAAGTCACCTGTCTGAGGTAACACAGCAAGAAAGCAACAGTGTCAGAATTTGAACCCAGTTCTGGCCAGGTGTGGTGGTTCACATCTGTACCCCCAGCATTTTGGGAGGCTGAGGAGGGAGGATCACTTAAGGCCAGAAGTTTGACGTCAGCCTGGGCAATGTAGCGAGATCCCGTCACTACAAAAAATGCAAAAATTGGCCGGGCGCCGTGGCTCACACCTGTAATCCCAGCACTTTGGGAAGCCGAGGCGGGCAGATCACAAGGTCAGGAGATTGAGATCATCCTGGCTAACATGGTGAGACCCCGTCTCTACTAAAAATACAAAAAAATTAGCCGGGCGTGGTGGTGGGCACCTGTAGTCCCAGCTACTCAGGAGGCTGAGGCAGGAGAATGGTGTGAACCCGGGAGGCAGAGCTTGAAGTGAGCCGAGATCACGCCACCACACTCCAGCCTGGGTGACAGAGAGAGACTCCTTCTCAAAAAAAAAAAAAAAAAGGCCGGGCGCGGTGGCTCAAGCCTGTAATCCCAGCACTTTGGGAGGCCGAGACGGGCGGATCATGAGGTCAGGAGATCGAGACCATCCTGGCTAACACGGTGAAACCCCGTCTCTACTAAAAAAAAATACAAAAAACTAGCCGGGCGAGGTGGCGGGCACCTGTAGTCCCAGCTACTCGGGAGGCTGAGGCAGGAGAATGGCGTAAACCCAGGAGGCAGAGCTTGCAGTGAGCTGAGATCCGGCCACTGCACTCCAGCCTGGGCGACAGAGCGAGACGCCGTCTCAAAAAAAATAAAAATAAAAACACACACACACACAAAAATGCAAAAATTAGTTGGGCATGGTGGCAGGCACCTGTAGTCTGAGCTACTTGGGAGGCTGAGGTGGGAGGATTGCTTGAGCCCAGGAATTTTGAGGAATTTGAGCTGTGATTGCACCACTGCACTCCAGCCTGGGCAACAAAGCAAGACCCTGTCTTTAAAAAAAGAAAAAATTGAACCCAGTTCTGTGTGACTCAGGAGCCCAGGCCCTCTCTGGAAACCTCTCAATGAAGTGGGTGAAGGTGGCCCCTCCCCAGCCCCCTCAGATGCCCAGCCACCCTAACCCCTGCCCCCCAACCCCCACCTTGTTGCCTCTTTGGTCCCAAACGGTTTGGAAAATCCTGACGGGAGCAGATGGTGGGACAGATGGAGGGAAAAGCATTTCGGGGCTGAATTACACAAACAAACATTGAAAAAGTGATTAAAACCCCAAGCCACCCCTTTCCAAAAGGCCCTGCCCACCCCAGCCTAGAGCACAGTGGACTCTGAGGTGGGGGCCTGGGGGTCTCTGAATACCCCGCATCTCAGCCCCAGCATCCCATCTTCGGCCCGGCCCCCTCTCTGCCAGGGACCACCCCCGGACCAGAGCCTAGGGTGGCAGAGCTGCCAGGAGCACAGCCCGGGAGGGGGAGGGGGTGGGCCTGGCTATTCTCAAGGGAGCTGGGCCCTGAGGAACAGCATGCTGGGGCAAGGGGTGGGAAAGTCCTGGGAGCTGGAACTGCAGACCCAAAGTCAGGGATGGGGTATGAGGTTCTGGGGGCCCTCAAGCAAAGTCCCTCACTTTATATGTGGGGCCCAGGTCACACAGCAGCGTTACCCGCCCCACGGTGGAGCGGGACAAGGCCCTTGACCTCTGGAAGCTTCAGTTGGTTCCCTGGTCTGTAAATGGAAACAATAATAATAGCACTGGAAGGGCTGCTGTGAGGATTAAGAGGGAGGGAGCTGCGAGGTGCTTGGCGTAGCGCCTGCGCCCAGTCAGTGCCCAGCTAATGTTGGCTGTCAGTACTCACAGGGCTCCGCGTGGCTTCTAGGCAACCCCTGGTGTTGGGAGACCAGGAAGGCTGGGGCTGCTTGAGATGGTCCTTCTCCAAACAGAAGTTTGGGCTTGAAGATCCTGCTGGCAGAACCCCTGAGACTGCTGAGCTCTGCAAGATGGAGATGGCTGCGATGGGTCCCCAAGAAGAGCCCCGACTCCTGGGTAAAAGCACTGAGCTGCATGCCAAGTCCAGTGTCAGGGAGCCCAAGAGATAGAGAAAGTGCTGCATCTTAGCTGGTTCCTCAATATGAGAGTACAGATTTCCTGGGGTGACAGATCCAGGTTCAAATCCTGGCATGGCCTTTTTTCTTTTGGGGAAAGTTGGCAAAAACAACCCCTCTGGTCCATTTTCTGTAAAACCTGCCTTTCCAGCCACGTCCGGGACTTGCTGCCAGAAGCCCGCAGACACCCTGATGTAAGCCTGCCAATGGTCACCCCATCACCTTCTCCCTCAGCCCGTCCTGCCCTTGGGCGCCCTCCACCCACCAAAGGAGGCCGAGGCCCCACCCCATCTGGGACCCCTCCCTCTTCCTCACTCCTACACCTGCTTTCTTCCACTGTGGCAGAGGAGGTCTCAGACCTGCCCTCTTCTCCCCAGTGCCACTCACTTCCTGGTCATATCTGCCCAGTATTACGGCTCTGGCCTTCCCACAGCTTCCCTGCTCTGATCAGTTTCTCTAAATCTGATTACCTTCCTCCCTGCTTAATAACCTTCCATGGCTCCCTGCTGCCTACCAGAGACTCTCTGAGACAAGCCTGAACTCTCACCTCCCACCCCAGCTCTTCTCCCTCCATCTTCCTTTCCCCTAATAATGTCCCACCAGCCCAGCAACCCCTGCCCCAGATGACCAGGATCTTCCCCACACGACCGTCTCCCAACCCTAATCTCTCCCATATGGGAGTTGGCTTTGGTGGATGGGTGAAGTAATGCCAGCGTCTGGGGTCACATCCAGGCCACACTTGCCCAGGAGAGTAATCGCTTTTCCTTTTGCTGGTGAAAGCAGCTCATAGCTGGAAGGGCCTCAGGTGTTGACCAGAGAGGGACAGTGACTTGCCTGAGATCACCCAGCCAGGCCTGCCCTGTTTCTGCTCCCCTCAATCAGAACTGGCCCCTTCAGAGCCTCTGTAATCAAAACATTGAGATCTTTCTTCCACAATTCCATTGCTGGGGAACTCAATCCTGCCACTTCTCTTGGTCTAGCTTGGACGGGACCATTTGAAAGTCATTCCTGGGTTATGGCAAAGGGACCAGTCACTTCTTGGAAGTGGAGCGGAGGGCAGGAGGCTGAGTCTTCACTTGCAACTTTATATTCCCTTCTGTCTGAATGTATTAAAACCTGGACATGGAGGATATTTGAGACTTGAGTCAAAATTAAGATTTTTTTTTTTTTTTTTTTTGAGATAGAGTCTCGCTCTGTGGCCCAGGCTGGAGTGCAGTGGCTTGATCTAGCTCTCTGCAAGCTCTGCCTCCCGGGTTCACGCCATTCTCCTGCCTCCGTCTCCTGAGTAACTGGGACTACAGGCACCCGCCATCACGCCCGGATAATTTTTTTTTTTTTTTTAATAGAGACAGGGTTTCACCGTGTTAGCCAGGATGGTCTCGATCTCCTAACCTCGTGATCCACCCACCTCGGCCTCCCAAAGTGCTGGGATTACAGGCGTGAGCCACTGCACCCGGCCAATTTTTTTTTTTTTTTTGGCACGGAGTCTGGCACTGTTGCCCGGGCTGGAGCCCAGTGACGCGATCTCAGCTCGCTGCAACCTCAGCCTCCCAGATTCAAGTGATTCTCCTGCCTCAGCCTCCCAAATAGCTGGGATTATAGGCATGCGCCACCATGCCTGGCTTTTTGGTTTTTGTTTGTTTGTTGAGACGGAGTTTTGCTCTTGTTGCCTAGGCTGGAGATGGTGTGGTCTCGGCTCACTGCAACCTATGCCTCCCAGGTTCAAGCGATTCTCCTGCCTCAGCCTCCTGATTATCTGGGATTACAGGCATGCGCCACCACGCCCGGCTAATTTTGTACTTTGAGTAGAGACAGTGTTTCTCCATGTTGGTCAGGCTGGTGTCGAACTCCTGACCTCAGGTGATCCGCCCGCCTCAGCCTCCCAAAGTGCTGGGATTATAGGTGTGAGCCACATGCCTGGCCTAATTTTTTGTATTTTTTTTTTTTTTTGAGACGGAGTCTCGCTCTGTCGCCCGGGCTGGAGTGCAGTGGCCGGATCTCAGCTCACTGCAAGCTCCGCCTCCCGGGTTTACGCCATTCTCCTGCCTCAGCTCCCGAATAGCTGGGACTACAGGCGCCCGCCACCTCGCCCGGCTAGTTTTTTGTATTTTTTTTAGTAGAGACGGGGTTTCACCATGTTAGCCAGGATGGTCTCGATCTCCTGACCTCGTGATCCGCCCGCCTCGGCCTCCCAGAGTGCTGGGATTACAGGCTTGAGCCACCGTGCCCGGCCAATTTTTTGTATTTTTAATAGAGACGGGGTTTCACTGTGATGGCCAGGCTGGTCTCGATCGCCTGACCTCATGATCCACCCGCCTTGGCCTCCCAAAGTGTTGGGATTACAGGCGTGAGCCACCAAGCCCAGCCCAAAATTAAGATTTTAAAAGAAACTTTCTGGGGTGGGGCGCAGTGGCTCACGCCTGTAATCCCAGCACTTTGGGAGGCCAAGGCGGGCGGATCATGAGGTCAGGCGATCAAGACCGTCCTGGCTAACACGGTGAAACCCCATCTCTATTAAAAATACAAAAAATTAGCCAGGCCTGGTGGCGGGCGCCTGTAGTCCCAGCTACTCAAGAGGCTGAGGCAGGAGAATGGCGTGAACCTGGGAGGCGGAGCTTGCAGTGAGCCGATATTGCACCACTGCACTCCAGCCTGGGTGACAGAGCGAAATTCCATCTCAAAAAAAAAAAAAGAAACTTCCTGGTGGGCATGGTGGCTCATGCCTGTAATCCCAGCACTTGGGGAGGCCAAGGCAGGAGGATTGCTGGAGTCCAGGAGTTTGAGACCAGCCTGGGCAACATGGTAAGACCTCATCTCCACAAAAAAAATTTTTTTAATTAGCTGGGTGTGTAATCAGGAGGCTGAGTCAAGAGGATTGTTGAGCCCAGGAAGTGGAGGTTGCAGTGAGCGAGACCCTGTCTCTAAATAAATAAGTGAAATAAAAATTTTTAAAAGTGCCCCCTAAACTGGGATCTGCCTCCCAGAAGCCTTCCAGCGGCCCAGCTCTGCTTGGGTGGTCCAGGCTGAACGCTGCATTCAGTGCCTATAGCCCTGGGGGATTCTCCTCCCAGCCTGCTCCTGATAACCCAGAAAAGTGGTGGGAATTTCCAGCCACCCGTGTGGTGTGGCTCTGGGAGCAGAGGGACTGTGCATGTAGCTGAGCCCGGCCTCCCTTGCAGAGCTGCTGTGGGAACCTACCAGACACTGTGGAGGGTAGTGCACATGAAGGAGGCTGCTCCGTGACACTTCCGGGCTCCAGGATACACATTCACACAGCCTTGCCGGCAGGTGCCCTAGTGAGAGGAAAGGTCACACCCCAGCTCTAGACTGCCGCTGGCACCCGTTACCTCCCTGAGACTATGCATGGGGTTAGAGCCAGAGGCAAACTAGAACCTAGCTCTGCCTCTGAGCTCTTTCCAGTGGGCCAGGCTTCCTTGGAGGAGTGAGGAGACTTCCCAGAGGGTCCAGGGGTACCCAGAGTTCCAGAACCCCACCCCAGAGGCCGAGGTTGCCCTATGCCAGGAACCCTGTGCTCCCAATTTGTCTCCCTCCCTGGGAAGACCAGGCCAGCTCTCATTCCTGGCACCTTAGGATCTCCTGGAGGCTGAGGATTGCCTCATTGTTTCCATAGTAACAGTGAACAGCAGGGCCTCCTGAATCACTACAGGGAGACTGCACTGGTACCTGCAAGTATGCATTTGCCCTGGGAATGCCTGGGATGGGGGCAGCCTTTGGTGCATGCACACAAGCATATGCACACCTTTGCACACATGCACACCCAGTGCACACCCTTTCCTCCTCCCAAACACATGCACACCCTTGCAAATGCAGGCATCGGCATGGAGCTTCAAGCCCTGGCCCGCTGACCCAGAAGTGGGTCAGAACGTCATCCTGCCTGACATAACCCACTCCCACAGCCACCCTGGCCCACTCAGATGCAGAGAGCATCTCGGGGAAATGAGGGACTTGCGCTTTATAATAATACCCACTGCAACATTTATAGATACTCAGCACGTGCCAGGTCCTGCGCTTTCCTCTTCACATGTAACAGCTCCTGTGTTCTCCACAACACAACTCTGGGATGGATGCCGGGAGGGTGAACATGCTCAGAGAGGCAGAGTGATTTGCCAGAGGTCACACTGTAGTGCGGGACTGTGCCAGTGTGTGAGCCCAAACTGTTTGGCTCCAAGCCTTGGACTCTTGCCTTCCTCACCAGACCCCTTGATGCCAGACCCACAGGCACTCACCCTGGGGCCCACAAACACAGATGGGCGTGCCTGGCAGTAGGTGGGACCAGAGTCAACTAGAATGCCAGGATTCCTGGGCTTGTCACTCTGGGCCATCATATTCCCTCTTCAGCCTCCAGCCATTCCTGTGTCAGGGGTATGAGGGGAGGTTTAGACAACACAGGGATTTTTTCTTCCACTTATTTCTTCTCAGTGTGCAGAAAAGGAATTTTGAGCAGCGAGAACAAGACTCACTGAGAATCTCCTGCCTAGGAAGCCACCGGGGTTCCCTTCCCTTCTGGCAAAGGGAGAAGTCCAGCAGCTGGATCCAGCCTCCAGCCTTCTCTGAGACCTCTCATGCAGACTTTTAACAACGGGGCCGGAGGCCAGAGGCTGGGCCAGCTGGGTCACCCTGAGCAGGGAGTTGGGTGGGCCAGATGGGGGGATGGCTTCCAGGAGGCAGTTTTCAGCAAAAGGATGGTCTGGCAGTGTTGCCAGGAAGGCAGCGATGCCCCTCACTAGAGGCATCCCGGGTTGGTAGACACTGGATACACCTGTTGAGGAAATTTGAGACAAGCAATGACCAAGTCCCTGCAACATCCTCGTCGTCATCTTTGTCGTCATCATAGCTACCACTGATTGGACACCCTTTGTGTCAGGCACTTTAAGCTATGATACAACTGGCCGGGCGCGGTGGCTCACGCCTGTAATCCCAGCACTTTGGGGGCCAAGGCGGGCGGATCACGAGATCAGGAGATCAAGACCATCCTGGCTAACACGGTGAAACCCCGTCTCTACTAAAAATACAAAAAATTAGCCGGGCGTGATGGCGGGCGCCTGTAGTCCCAGCTATTCGGGAGGCTGAGGCAGGAGAATGGAGTGAACCTGGGAGGCAGAGCTTACAGTGAGCCCAGATCGTGCCACTGCATTCCAGCCTGGGGGACAGAGTGAGACTCCGTCAAAAAAAAAAAAAAAAAAAAAAAAAAGATATGATACAACTTCCACTACTGCTAATAAAAATGGCAGCTACTAGGAACTCAGCGCTTATGTGGTTGATCTTCATTGACTCCTCACAGAACCCTGTGAGGCAGGTGCTATTGTTAGACCCATTTATAGACAGGGAAACTGAGGCTCAGAGCGATTCAGAGACGTGTTTACAAGCAGGGACAGCAAGATGCAGGCTCTACCTGGCTGCTGTGTCTGTGGTCGGCTCACCTGGGAGTTGGCCTCCTGAGAGCTAAGCAGCAGGCAAGGCAGCCTCTGCCAGATGGGGCCTCCTCCTTGGACTGTTCCTGCACTGGGGCAACGCGGGCTTCACTGTGGCTGAGGTGGCGCCCTCTGCTGGCTGTGCCCAGGCTGTGCAGAGCCACGAGGGAGGCCCTCCGTGGACTTGAGTTGCGGGAGGTGGACTGACCCTGGAGCCTCAGGGTCAGACCTTCACTGCAGATGGCAGCCATTCGCCAGTGAGAACAGGTGCCAAGGTCACTCCGGCAGTCTGGGGCTGAGCTGAGGAGTGAATGTAAAGGCAGTCTTCACTCCCAGGCTTTTGTCCTTCTACCCCTCCCTTGTCTTCCCCTAGCTGCCTCCACCTCCTCCACTGCCTTCCACTCTGGGCCCCTAAAATAGGGCCTCTGCCCCACTGTTTTTGAGGAATCTGAGTGACTGGTGTGCAGCTGATAATCTGTCTCCAAAGGCAAAGCCAGGGTCCAGGGTTTGGGGCCTGGAGCTGCCACTGACTGGCTTTGTGATACTGGGGGAGATTCTCAACCTCTCTGAGTGCTGTTGGATGGCAGCCTTCCTGTGTAGACTCTAAAGAACTGAAGAGATTTGAGGAGGTCTCCTTTACCTGATTAGAAGGCTCTATTCCACCACTCCTCCTCCTCCCTCCCCTCCCCTTCCTCCTCCTCCTCCTCGTCCTCCCTCTTTCTTTCTCTCTGCCTCTTCTCCTCCCCTGACCAGAGGAGGCATTTTAGGCTCAGAAAGCTGGAATTACTTGGCCGTATGTCACCCAGCCAGGGGTTCCTGGCTTCAGAATCTGGACTTTGGAGGGCTGACCTCTGCCCTGCTTCCTTTTCATCTCCTCCTATATGTCTGATCCATCAGCTCCTCCTACAAAAAAGAAAAACATCCAAAATCCTCCATCGACTTCTCTGTCCCCTGCCACCACCCGGGCCAACACCGCATCCTTTCTGGCTGTGAGACCGCATCACCTTCCTTGCTTCCTCACAGGGCATCTGGCCCCCCACTCCTGTTCTCTGCCATCTAGCCTGCTCACTGGAGTGGGCAAAGTGAGCCTTTTAAAATGCAAATCACATCCCATCTCATCTCCCCTCGAAACTTCCCATTGTGAATGGGATCAACCTAACCTCCCTTCCACACCTGGAGGCCATGTGCTATCCAATCCCACCTGCCCTCACTGCCTCCTTCTTGCTTATAAAGTTCCAGGCTCACCGGCTTCTTTCTGTTTCCCCAACATGCCACGCTTGCTCCTGCCCCAGGGCCTTGGCACATGCTGTTCTGGGGCCGGATCTCCCGTCCTGTGCTGTGTGCTGCTGCTTCCTTTGCCTTCAGGTGTCAGTTCAGATGACTCCCCCTCAACCCATACCACGTAATGTCACCCCACCCAGACACTCTCCACCACATGACTTCCTTGTTTTCATAGCCACTCTCGGTCTCTGAAGATATTTTATTTGGTCAGCAGCTCACTTGTTTATTGCTTATCTCTCCCCCTGGAATATGAGATTCACATGGGGCAGGGACCCTGTTGTCTTGGTCACAGCTGTGATGCTGCTGGCACTTAGTAGGTGCTTGATAAATGTTTGTTGAATAAAGAAAGCCCTTCCTAGCCCCAGCTACTCTTGCAAGCTTGGAACAATCTTTCCAATCTAGTTCTACTTTTCCTGCTCCCAGTGTCACAGCTCAGAGCCTATAGCAAATGCCCACATAAACATGCTGCCTCTCCTGCTTTCCCTCCACAGAAACACTCTGCTCTTCCACACCTCAGAGCTAATGATTCCTCTTTCCCTCTGCCTCTCTCCTCTCACTTGGCTAATTTCCACCTGACAGTACTTATTAAGCTCAAGCATCACCTCTTCCCAGAAGCCCTTCCTGCTTTCCTCTCAAGTTAATTACCTTTTCTGTCCCTGTAGGCCCCAGGTGCCTCCTATTCCAGAAGGCAGTCCCCTCTTTGTATTTTAAGAGCATCTCTCTCCTCTTCCCCAACCATAAGGACTCCTTAAGGACTAGGACCAGTCTGGTTCATCACTATGTCCTCAGCACCACCAGCACTCAGGAAATACTAAACTGGCCTGACTTCATCATTGCCATGATGGGAATTTTGAGGATTAGAGAGGCTAGATCAGTGTCTCCCAGCTGTATGACCCATGGCAAGCCCCTTCTTCTCTTCAAGCCTCAGTTTCCTCATCTGTAAAATGGGTATAATTCCAACTCCTCTGAGGATTCAAAGAGGCTTCCCTTATGGACATAATGTGTCAGCTCGGGAAAAGGGTGAGTGGGGGCTCCCTTGTCTTGGCCCTGGGCTTAGCGACTGCCTCTGTGAGCAATAAGTCCCCTTGAGCCCTTCAGGGAAGGAGATTGATGTGATGTCCTCTGGTGAGCCCTGAGCCCTGGATCCTTGTCCTCAGAGGTCCTTAGAGGTAAGGGGAGGTGGTAGGCAGACTGGATCAGGCTCTCAACTTGCAGCCACATAATTTAATTTGAGACATGTCTCTATAGTTCACTGGCTGTGTGACACAGGGCAAGTCCCCTTACCTCTCTGATCCTCAGCTTCCTGATGTGGAATGGAAGCTAATGACACATACCAGCCTAAGACTCAAAATAACATGGATTAAGGCCGGGCGCGGTGGCTGACACCTGTAATCCCAGCACTTTAGGAGGCCGAGGCGGGTGGATCACCTGAGATCAGGAGTTCGAGACCAGCCTGGCCAACATGATGAAACCCTGTCTCTACTAAAAATACAAAAATTAGCCAGGCGTGGTGGTGGCTACCTGTAGTCCCAGCTACTCGGGAGGCTGAGGCAGGACAATCGCTTGAACCTGGGAAGTGGAGATTGCAGCGAGCCAAGATCACGCCACTGCACTCCAGCCTGGGCAGAAGAGCAAAACTCCATCTTAAAATAAAATAAAATAAAATAGGCCAGGCGCAGTGGCTCACGCCTGTAATCCCAGCACTTTGGGAGGCCGAGGCGGGCGGATCACAAGGTCAGGAGATCAAGACCATCCTGGCTAACACTGTGAAACGCTGTCTCTACTAAAAATACAAACATTTAATCAGGCGTGGTGGCAGGCACCTGTAGTCCCAGCTACTTGGGAGGCTGAGGTAGGAGAATGGCGTGAGCCCGGGAGGCAGAGCTTGCAGTGAGCCGAGATTGTGCCACTGCACTCCAGCCTGGGCGACAGAGCGAGACTCCGTCTAAATAAAATAAAATAATAACATGGATAAAGTAGGTGCTCAATTATTATATCCCCAAAGCAACTCCTGACCTGATTCTTCCTGTGATTTGCAGGGCAGGTGAGAGGGTGTCTAGCGACCACCCTTGACTGGGGCCATGACCATCCTAGGCTATGAATAGGAACCTTCCTATTCTAAATGGGTACCTGGACTGGCTTGGGTACCTGCAGCCTGAGTTAGGTGCTGAGACTGGACATGCAGGAGGGTCCCAATGCTGGTGACTCCATTAGGTGTCAATGTGTAAGTGACCAGCCGGCCCTCAAGGGGATGTCTGTGGAGTCCTCCACATGAAGCCCAGTGAGTGCAACTTGGAAGGACAGAGGCCAACCCTTAGTCCCTACCTAGATCCTCATTTATGGTTTCATTCATTCTTTCACTGCTGTGTTTCCAGAATATTATACAGGGCCTGGTCCATAATAGGTGCTCAATAAACATACGATGGAAGAATGATTTTTTTCCACACAGTCAACAATCATTTAATAAGCCCCTACTGCATTGTAAGCCTTGTGCTAAGGGATGGGATACATAAAGTGGCTGGGTTTTTTGAGACAGTCTTTCTCTGTTGCCCAGGCTGGAATGCAGTGGCACAATCTCAGCTCACTGCAACCTCCGCATCCCGGGTTCAAATGCTTCTCATGCCTCAGCCTCCCGAGTAGCTGGGATTACAGGTGTGCACCACCATGCCCGGCTAATTTTGTGTTTTTAGTAGAGACGGGGTTTCACCATGTTGGCCAGGCTGGTCTCGAACTCCTGACCTCAGGCGATCCACCTGCCTCGGCCTCCCACAGTGCTGGGATTACAGGCGTGAGCCAGCGCCCCGGCCTGCAGTGGCTGCTTCTGAGAGCTCCCTCTCAAGCTCACCCAGGGCTCCACTAAATCCTCCCAGCCAGCTCCCACCGGCTGCCAGGTTCCAGGCACCAGGACTTTCCCCAGAATTAAGGCCCAAGCACCCCATGCATCATGAGGCCTGGGAAGGCTGTACCCCCACATCCACAGCTCTCCAAATCCTCCCAGTCCTCCAAGCCCCTTCCTTCTGCCGCCTTCTCTCTCCAGCCCTCAGGCACTGCCATCTCCTCCCTCCCAGCGCCCTACATCTATCTAGGTTTTACCCAAAGTGGCCAGCAGATGGCGCCAAGGGTTCCCTTTCCCCAGCGCTGGACTGGAGGCCAAGATCCCACCAGGACCCTCCCTCCTTTTCTGCCCTGCAGGGACGGGAGTAGATTCTGTGTCCTCTAACTGAACCCTCTCCTTCCTGCTAGTTCCTGCGATGGAGGCCTGAAGAGGCTCCAGTTGCTCCTGCGGGCCTCCTGGTTGTCTTCCTGTCTGATGGATGGGGGGTGGGGGGTCCCTAGGGGCTAAGCTGCAGCTGGTGGGGCGGGGCCGGGTGGGGTGGGGCAGGCAGCTGCTGCGGGGAGAGAGAAAGAGAAGATAATAAGGAGAGAGCAAAGAGCAAAGAGAGAGAGGTGCTCTGGCTCCGGGGCTCCTCTCCCAAACGGGTCGAGGTCCCAGCTGAGGCTCTCCCAGGACAAGGTATGTGGCGGGGGAAATGATGGGGCTGGGCAGTGTCACCCTGCCCAGTGGGGCAGGCCTGGGGGCACTGAGGGGATGGGCAGGAAAATTCTGCTGCTCAACAAGAGCCCCTAAGCTCGCTTCCATCTCACCCCTTCCAAGGTGACCAAGGAGGAACACAGGGCCAGCGAAGGAGTCCTGGGTGGGCATTAGGAGAGGAGGGTTGTCTATCGCTGCTCTTGACCCACTGTGTGAATTTTCACCAAGCTCTTCCCATCGCAAGACCCCACTTCCTTAATGTAAAACCAGGTGGATGGAGAGGTTTCTATGGCAGAACTTTGCAAGATGTCCCCTTTCCAAAGAAAATTAGCCCTTCCAGGGCTTCTTGAAAACCTTTAAGACCCAAAGGGAAGTCCCGCTAATGGTGGAATTTCGGATAGTCGTGGGAGGGGGCTCAGGGGTTCTTGTTGAGACAAAAAGGCCCTGAGCCCTGGTCCATGCCTCTCCTCCACTTTGTTTCTCTGGCTGGGATGAGGGAGGGGGGCTGCAGTCACTCCCCCTCTCAGAGATGCTCTTAGAGAGATCGCTGCAGACTCTTTTCTGGCTGGGGAGGAGCTGACCCCGGCCAATTCTAGAATCTCAGGAATCTCCGGATGGGTGAAGTCACTCTGGGTGGGGAGACAGTTCAGTTAAGCACAGCTTTGGGAGTCAGATCAGCCTGTGCTCAAATCCTGGCTCTGCTGTGGGTCCCTGGACAAGTCCCTGTCCAAGCTGCAGGATCCTCTTGTGCAAAGTGTGCACAGAGTATGACTTTACAGAGTTGCCCTGAGAATTAAGCCACATAATGCAAAGAAAGCTCAGCATAGTATCTGGCCCCTGGTAGACGCTCATTACTGCCCTCACTATGGGGATGAAAATGAAGGAAAAGGACTGGCCTGGCGTCACAGAGTTGAGTCCAGTGAGTCAGAGCAGCCTCTTCCCAACCCCACTGCAACACGAAGCCCTAGTGTCCACTTAGCACTCTTTGCTCAACCCAGCCTTACTGTGATCTCTCCCCTCTGCTCCCGTCTACCCCAGCTGCATAGGCCTCGGGTCTAGAGTGGAGTGAAGGGATCCCTAGGCCCAGGGATGGGAGGCGCGCTTTGGGGTGGCGGCTCAAACGGGCATCTCCGTGGCACTTGCCCTCCCTCTACCCTGGGAAAGGGCAGAAAGCGGCAGCCGAGTCAGGGCTGTGTGCAGGCGAGAGAGTGACCGCGGCGGGAGCGCGGAGAACCCAGCTGGGCTCCCGCTCGGTGAACGGGTGGGAGCCGCGGGTCCACGAAGCCCGTATCTCCCCGGTAGCGGACCGAATAGGCAGCGGGGGCGGGAGTGGGGGCGCCCTCCGGTCCTCACCCCGCCCCCGCGCCTCTCCCCGCAGCGGGGGCGCCCCGCCCCCCGGGCGCCCGACGTGGACGCGGCCGCCGCCACCGCCGCCGCGCGGGAGTTGCTGTCCGCGGAGCCGACATGCAGGCGGCGCGGGGCGGCGCGGGGCGGCCGGGGCGGCCGGGCCGCGGGCCGGAGCGCGAGCGCGAGCGGCCGCCGGGCGCCGGAGCCACGTCCCCCTGCGCCGCCCCGGGCCTGCCGGCCGGAGGAGCCACCATGCACCCCCGGCCGCCGAGCGCCTGGCCGCCCCGCGCCCGCGCCGCGCTCCGCCTGTGGCTGGGCTGCGTCTGCTTCGCGCTGGTGCAGGCGGGTAAGGGGGCCCGGGGCGGGGGACCGGCGGGCCGGCGCCGGGGCAGACTCCTCTACCTGGGAGTCCCCTGGTCCTTTCCCTGCCCCCTAGGGATCTCCTGTCTCGGCCGAAACACTGCTCCCCTGACCCAGCCCCCAGCATCTTCCCTACCTCCTTGACCCCCAGACCTGTCCTTCAGTTTCCTAACCTCCCCTGTCACCTCAGCCCTGGGCTTCTTAGGGTCTTGTGGTCCCCAGTCCCCTAATCCCATTCCCCTAGCCCCAGGTCTTTGCCTCAGCTTCCCTAGCTCCCTTCTTTGGCCCAGGGAGCAGCTGAGGACACCAGTTCTCCCACCTTGGGCCTCTCTCCGTGTCCCCAAGATCTCTCAAAGCCCTGCTGGCCAACTCTGCAGGGGCAGATGGGGTCCCGCTGTGCAGGAGCACGTGTGAAGGGGATGGGGGCTGGCACCTGAGGGCGCAGTGCAGAGCGTGGGGTGGGCCCCAGCACCCGAGCTGGTGCAGTGTCTGACCTGCCCCATGGGGCCGGCACGTCCTTGCCCAGCCTCTCCTACCACTCTGTCTTTGTCCCTCCTGGCTGCCGCTGCCCGGCTCATCTCTCCCTCCGTGGTTCGGGGCACGCTCTCTCGCATCTGTCTTTCTCAGATGCCCCACTTCTCTGTCCTCTGGTTCTGTGTCTGCCGCCACCTGTCTGTGTCCTGTCTCTCCACCTCCCTCTCCATGTCTGGCTCTGTCTCCCTCAGGTGCCAGGCCCAGCTCCCTGGGCCTCAAGTTCACTCTCTGTGGGGCGAGGGGTACTGCTGAGGCCCAGCTCTGCCCCATGCTGCACCTGCCCCTTGGAAGATAGAGGCTTATGTGACTGCACTGCCCCTCTCCTGGATGGTTTTCCTCACTGACCCCCACTATTCTCATCACTCTCACCCCCACTTACCTCCTGTCTCTTGGAGTGATTCCTCATTGATCCTCTTCCCCTACCTGTTCTCTCCTCTCCACTCGCCATGGAGGGTCACTGCTCTGAGTGACCCCATCTTCTCCTGCCACCTCTCACCTGCCTCTTGGGGCTGGAAGGGAGTGGAGAAGAGGCTCACACAGACTTCCCCAGGCTTCATTCTGCCTGGGCCACCACAATTCTGGGGATACTTCTGTTCTCCTCATTCCCAGCCCAGGGCTTACCCCAGCATGACACTTCTTGATCTCTGGGTCTTTCTCCTTCGTTCAAGGTCACTCCTTGGACAGGGCAGTATTGTTAAAAGAGCACTGGACTGGGAGTCCTTTGGTCTGCTTTTCATCAGCTAACCTTCAGTTTCTGTCCACCTATGTCCCCTCCATGACTCTCTCAACTCTAACCGCCCATCCCTTAGATAGGGCCCCGGCCCAGGCCCATCACTTTGAGCCTTGGACCCCTGGTGGGGCCGGCCTGTGGCCAGCAGGGGCTTCCATCCCAGTCATGAGGATCCTGGGGCCTCTTGGGCTTGGTTCTTCAACCCACTGAAGAGCTGAGAGCCATGTCACTGGACCCAATCGAGGCTTTAGTTTCTTCCTTCCCCTCCTGCAAGGCCTTCCCCAGGTTTCCCTTTCTTACTTATGAGACAGTGGGTCTGGGCCTCACGACAGGGGATGTTCAGGCTTAGGTGCCTCCCCGTCCCCCAGACAGTCCCTCAGCCCCAGTGAACGTCACCGTCAGGCACCTCAAGGCCAACTCTGCAGTGGTGAGCTGGGATGTTCTGGAGGATGAAGTTGTCATCGGATTTGCCATCTCCCAGCAGGTAATGCTCCACTGTCCTCGGGGGGAAGGACACATCGGGATAGTAGTGGCAGATGGGGGTAGGAGTGTGGCAGTGGTGGTGATGGAGAAACAGAAAGGAAATAGGAACTTGGGGCAAGGAAGATGAACAATTTGGACATATGTCTGAAAATTGGGGCCCCATTCAGACATATGTCTGAAAATTCTCTAGAAGAGAATCAGTGAGGGAGGGTTCGAGAACTTTCAAGTGGAACACAGAAATTAAGGGCATGGTTTTGATCTCAGAGACATCTGCATTTAGGACCTAGCTCCAGTGCTTACTAGATACGTGGCCTTGGGCAACTTCCCTAACCTCTCTGAACCTGTTTCCTTCCCTGTAAAATGGAGATATTGATAGCGGAGGTGATGGAATGAAGATTGTATATGTAAAGGCTTTGTCACCACTGGGAGGTGGGCAGGAGCGGGGCTGGTCACTGAGTGTTGACAGCAATGACCGGCGCTTGTCTGCAGAAGAAGGATGTGCGGATGCTGCGCTTCATCCAGGAGGTGAACACCACCACCCGCTCGTGTGCCCTCTGGGACCTGGAGGAGGATACGGAGTACATAGTGCATGTGCAGGCCATCTCCATTCAGGGCCAAAGCCCAGCCAGTGAGCCTGTGCTCTTCAAGACCCCGCGTGAGGCTGAGAAGATGGCCTCCAAGAACAAAGGCAGGCCCGGGTCACTGTTAAGAGGGATGGGGTGGGGTGAGGGGTGGTCAGGACCAGACCAGTGGGTGGCTTGAGGAAAGCTCTGTCTCCTTCCCCTTACCCCCTGCTGGCAAGTAAAGCAGTACCTGAGAGAGAGAGGGTTCATACTAGTCCCCAACAAGATGCTGGGCATGTAAACTCCCTTTAGACTCGGTCCTATCACTGCCACCCCAATTAGCCATCAGTGCATTCTAGAATGTACACTAGATGTGTGGGCACCTGTAGAAATCAGCACTGTTGTCTTGGGCTTGGCCCTAGAGGAGTGGCTGAGGGAGGAAAGGAGCACTGGACCTAGTGTCTCTCCCGACAGATGAGGTAACGATGAAAGAGATGGGGAGGAACCAACAGCTGCGGACAGGCGAGGTGCTGATCATTGTCGTGGTCCTGTTCATGTGGGCAGGTGAGTCTGGTCCCCGGGTCCTTTTTCTTCCCTCAGCCTCTGAGAAATGGAGAACTCTGACCAGCCCCTTCTCTCATGAATACAAAGGGTAAGGGGTTTGGACATCTCTAAGGTGAAAAGTCTCCAAGTCCTGCCAACGACAGTTCTGGGAACCAGATCTGACCCCTCCTCTACCTCACTCTTCAACAAAAAACCAGCATATTGTTAGCTGCCTTATAAGATTAAATGAGTACTTGCCTTTGCCCTCCCTCAGAAGAAGTTCAGCTTCTTGGGGCTGGACACTTCCACAGGCCCTTTACCTCTGGTAATGGCTACAGCCCTTTTTTTCTCTTCTGGGGTGCTGTGCCTCCAAGGGGTCCAGGCCTGGGAAGCTCAGGGGAAGTCACTGCCTGGCCTTGGGACATTCTCCTAACCTACTCACCCTTCTAGACCCAGGCACCATGGCTGCAAGACAGCCACGGTAAAAACTCCCTCAATCCGTCCATTAGAATGGCCCTCCTGCTTCTACACCCCCACGGCATACTGTTCACTCCTCTCTTTAGCCTTTCATATGTAAGTTAGTTGGGCTTTTGTCTCTTTCCTTTACCTGTGGTCTGTGAGCTCCCTGAGAATGAAGACCAAGCTTTTTGTTTGTTTTGTTTTGTTTTTTGAGACCCAGGTTGGAGTGCAGTGGTGCAATCACAGCTCACTGCAGACTTGACCTCTTGGGCTCAAGTGATCGCCATGCCTTAGCCTCCTGAGTAGCTGGGACTACAGACATGTGCCACCATGCCTGGCTAAATTTTTATTTTTTGTAGAGATGGGATCTTGCCTTGCTATGTTGCCCAGGCTGGTAAAGGCCAAGTTTCATTCATCTTTGTACTCAATTCAACCAGCATTTACTGAACAATCACTCCAGCCCAAACAGTAGTGCTACAATCATGACTAAGAATACCCCTGTGCCTGCAAAGAACTGTCTGGGCGAAGCCAGGCCCGAACTTACTTCTTTTCTTCTCGTTTACTCTTCTAAATTTTTCTTTTTCATTTTCTTGGGCTGAACTTAACTATAATCCAATGTGATGAATGCTATGATAGTATCATGTAGGAGAGCAGAGGAAATAACTGTGGGTTAGAAATCAGGAAAAACACCGAGGAGATAACATGGGAATTGAGCTTTGAAGGATAAATAGGAGTTCACCAGGCAGCCAAAAGAAGAATAGTGTTCAGGGCATGGTATGTTCAAGAAATAAAGTAAGTTCAGTTTGGTTCAGGGCAGCTGCAATCCAAGAGAGAAGGTGGAACGTGGGGGAGTAAAGGATGGCGAGGCTGTAGACTGGAGTCTTTTGAGGGATTTGAATATTATGCTAAAGCTTTATTAGCATGGTGGCTGAAAAGGCAGGCTGTATTGTAGAAGCATTTGGAAAAAAATGTTCCTTAGGCACACAGAATAACAGGCACTTGGAAAAATGAGGCAAAAACAAAGGGTTGTACAAAAGAGGAGGTTTGCTTATGGTGCGTTATTAGATTTGGCACAGACAGTATTTATATAATCATAACAATATAAACATAGTGAATTAACCCAAAATTGTGATGTAATTCTGTTAGGATAATAGGGAGGGAAGTAGAGGAAGTTGTGATGCTTTATCTGCCCTGGTTGGAAGTCAACAGATTTCTAAAATAGATCAAGAAATAACATTCTAAATATAGAGGTAAAATTGGGAAAACACCTAGAAGGACTGGAGTTGGCTGCCTTAATACTGTCTGACTTTCAAAAATCATTCTGTTCATGTATTATTAGTTTGATAAAACTAAGCATTTAACAGACTGCAGGCCCTGGAGTTTATGTCCTAGTTCTGCCACTGTGTGACCTTGAGTTAAGTTAGTGAAACTCTCTATATCAGTGTCCTCACTTGTACCCTGGGAATGATAATAATAGGTATCCTCACAGAGTTGTGAGGATTAAGTGAGATAGAATATGTCAGGGCACAGCACAGGGCCTGGCACAAGTTCAACAAATGCTATTATTGTTTCTATTTTCCCCTCAAGGAAAACCAGAGCTGTTAGAGATTTTGTTTGTTTTTTTGTTTTTCTCTGAGACAGAGTCTCACTCTGTTGCCCAGGCTGGAGTGCAGTGCTGTGATCTCGGCTCACTGCAACCTCCGCCTCCCAGGTTCAAGCTATTCTCCTGCCTCAGCCTCCTGAGTAGCTGGGATTACAGGCACCTGCCACCATGCCCAACTAATTTTTTGTGTGTTTAGTAGACGGGGTTTCACCGTGTTGGCCAGGCTGGTCTCTATTTCCTGACCTCGTGATCCGCCCACCTTGGCTTCCCAAAGTGCTGGGATTGCCGGGCACTGTGGCTCATGCCTGTAATCTCAGCACTTTGGGAGGCCAAGGTGAGCGGATCACCTGAGGTCGGGAGTTCGAGACCAGCCTGACCAACATGGAGAAACCCTATCTCTACTAAAAATACAAAATTAGCCAGGCGTGGTGGTTCATGCCTGTAATCCCAGTTACTTTGGAGGCTGAAGCAGGAGAATCACTTGAACCTGGAAGGCGGAGGTTGCAGTGAGCCAAGATGGCGCCATTGCACTCCAGCCTGGGCAACAAGGGTGAAACTCCATCTCAAAATAAAAAACAAAACCAAAGTGCTGGGATTACAGGCGTGAGCCACTGCGCCTGGCCGTTGTCAGAGGTTTAAAGGAAAGGAGGAGAGGAGATATGATCAGACTCATATTGTAGGAAGATCAGCCTAGCAGCAGTGAAAGGGGTGGCTCATGAGGGCACAGGTGAAAACAGGAGCCAGAGGGCAGAGGGAGGGTGCTACAGTAGTGCAGGTGAGGCACAATCAGGAGAGACCATTGGCAAGCACTAGTGGGAAAGAAGCAGGCGAGGCAAGAACCCAGGCCCTGGCCTCTGACTGCTCACTTGTCCCCCTCAGGTGTCATTGCCCTCTTCTGCCGCCAGTATGACATCATCAAGGACAATGAACCCAATAACAACAAGGAAAAAACCAAGAGTGCATCAGAAACCAGCACACCAGAGCACCAGGGCGGGGGGCTTCTCCGCAGCAAGGTGAGGGCAAGACCTGGGCCTGGGTGGGCCACCCTGTGCCTTGTGCTCTGGTAATCCCTGGACTGAAGAGGGGGTCAGCTCAGGGCCTGGCATGGTGACAGCTGGGCAGAGCCAGATTTGGCTGCTGCCTGTGTGACACAGGGACACTGCAAGTTGATTTTGGATCCTCTCCTTTTGCAGGGTGCCAGGGGCCAGTGGTGATTTGGAAAAAAAAAAAAAAAAAAGCAGTGAATGGGGAGGGCAGAATTCTTGGTTGGCGCGGGACAACAGGAATGGGGTATCTGGCTCGTTCCTGCTCCTGCTGTGCCTTGTGACCTTGGGCAGGTGCTTTACTGCTGTACCTTGATTTCCTCTTCTGTAAAACAGATATGAAAACCTTTTCAGTGCTTGCCCTGAGCAGCTAAGAAGACAGACAGTAGAGAATGTGAGAGGATCTCATGATCTCATGGTTCTGACGATGATTATCCAACAAACATCTGGCCCTCTCTACATCTCCTCTTCCCTCCATCTCCTTGTATCCTCTGGCTTACTGTCCTCTCTCTGGAGCACTTTCCTGAAGCCTTTTATTAACCCCCATCTCCAGAAGCACCTCAACAATGTCAGTGGCTGAGGCTGCACTCAGAGGGATGACTGCTGGGGGTAAACTGGGTGCCAGGGGCCATGGGCCCAGGACCCAGTCTTGGCCATTCAGTTGAGTGAGGCTGAAGGCTGGGTTTGAAAAGGCAGACAAGACATCCAGGCAGGGCTTCTCTTTTCCTTCCACAAGGGACAAGAGCCTGGCTTATTTAGGCTGCAGCCCTGCTGCTCCTCCCTTCCTTCTTCTGTCCTCTGTTTCCAGCCTTGCAAGAAGTCTATTCAATTAGTCCTGGCCGCTTCTCTCATTTTTTTCCTCCCAGTTTCCAAACAAGCCCTCAGTGAACATCATTGAAGCGTGACTGCCTGTCTGCAGAGAGAAGGATTCCATTTTTCTTCTCAGCTGGTCCCCGGGCCCACGGGCACAGGGAGCAGGACGACTGCAGCAGCGGGGAGGAGGCACAGCTAGCTGCAGTTTGCTTTTCTCCTTGCCCTAGTCAGATGAAGGAGGCTGAACTACAAACCCAAATTCTGCAAAAAATAAATAAAATAAGAATAAGCCACAAAACTAAAAGGCCTGGCCCCATTCTGGAAAAGGCAAAGCTGCATGAGACACAGCCTTCTGCCTCCTCACCTCTCCTGGACTGGCTTCCTCTTTGAGAAAATGCACAAAGCCCTGGGAGATGACAAGCACGAGGACTGACGCAAGCTGTGTCTTTCAGACCAAGGAACATCAGAGAAGCTGTGGGGCTGCCTGCCATGCAGGATCATGGCTGCCATCAAGCCTTTTCTGGATCCAGCCATCAAGGACATGTTTGTGGTGTGATACACACCTTTGCAAGTGTGTAAGATATTACCTGGTTTGTCTCTTTTGGAAAACAAAAATCCGAAGGCTGCACTCTAGAGGGCAGAGAGATTCCCCCGAAGACTGAGCTGGTTGCCTGCATCCTCTATCTTCTTTGACCCTTATGACTGTAAGATCATCAGTTTGGGGTCTTAGGAAGACCCGGAAGGTACTGGTCTAATTTATTTAGGAAGTATCTCTTGGAATTTGAGAAATGCTAGCTTGGACAACTGAAAAGTCACATCACATCTGGCATTCTGGGGGTTACTAAAACACCCCTTCTGGAGTGGAAGCTGCTGGAAGGCAGGCCTGAGCCATTCACCACAGACAGGAAGAGCAGCCCTGGCTATCACACTGGCCTCTGGGGTCTTCATATCTTGCCATCTCATCCAGGGTTCCGTGAAAGTTACCCAGGGTCCTCATGTCCTTCCTTAGAGCCTGAGTGGTGTGAGGTGACAGGTCTCTCTCTCCACTGCCCCTTTCTGGCTTAAAAAAATGGTGCTTGATGAGGGAAGGTAGACTCTTCCCTAGGACTGACGAGTTATGGCTGCCAGATACCTGCATGGGAAGAGGTGGACCTCTGCATCTTCCATTGGCGGCCAAGGATGGGTGTGGGTGAACCACACCTAGCACAAGCCTGGTACTCAGTAAATATTTGTTGAAATGAGTAAGAGCATCGGTCCCCAAGCCAGAGCGCCAGAAGCCATCACCCAATGACCGCCCCTTCCTTCCGGTCTACAAGAGCTCTCAAGGCTGGGTCTGCCACCACTCTGCTTTGCCCAAGTGTGGCAGCACTGGGGAGGAGAGACAGGATAAAGGGCAGATGTCAGCAATACTAAGGGCTTCCTCATGGGAGGGCATGAGGCTCCACTCATTGTCTTGTGACTTCCATCCCTGCTGAATGGGGCTGCAAGGCCAAAGCTCCTTAGGGGAGAGGTCCTTACCTCTGATCCACTTAGAGCAATAACCACTTTTTAAATGTAAAATAAAAAGACAAATGAAAAGGCACATCCTTGTCTTCTGGTAAATGCCCAAATGTTGCCCTCTTTTTCTGGCAATTGGCAGCAAGTCAGGATGTGTGGAGGAGGGAGTCAGTTCTCTCTCTCCATTTTGGCCTGCAGCTTCTTAGGGACATGCCTGCCAGCCAAGCTGGAGTTGGAAGGGAATCTCAAACAGATGGGGGTGCACGTGTAGGAGAAGAAAATAGCTGCTCCATCATCCTATGACTGAGGCTCCCCCAAACCAAGCTTGGGCTGCCTCACTAGATAGGTATGCAGGCTGGTACTCAGTTTTTAAAACAAAGGGTTTTCCCCACTGGATGGGGCTGGGTGCTTTTCCTGGCCAAAGGAATGCAATTCTTGTTTCTCCCTAGGGTAAGGAAGGAGTGAAGGGGAACAGCAAAAGCTGCTTTCTGCAGCTCAGTATTCACAGCCTGCTGTTATAGGCTGTTAAAGGAACACCATTATGATCCCAACAGCAGACTGAAAGAGTAATGATATTAGCCAAGGAGCAAAAACCAGTAAATGGGGCACCTCGAACATTTCGTGTCCAGAGCCAGGAAGAGCTTGGAGAGAAAATGTCCGGTGAGCAGGGCTTGGAGTTGACTGTTTTAAAAGGTTCTGAAAGCAGAGGGAAAGGTTTTATTTTTATTTTATTTTATTTTATTTATTTATTTTTTTGAGATGGAGTCTGGCTCTGTTGCCCAGGCTGGAGTGCAGTAGCCGGATCTCAGCTCACTGCAAGCTCCGCCTCCCGGGTTCCCGCCATTCTCCTGCCTCAGCCTCCTGAGTAGCTGGAACAACAGGCGCCCGCCACCTCGCCCGGCTAGTTTTTTGTATTTTTTAGTAGAGACGGGGTTTCACCATGTTAGCCAGGATGGTCTCGATCTCCTGATCTCGTGATCCGCCCGTCTCGGCCTCCCAAAGTGCTAGGATTACAGGCTTGAGCCACCGCGCCCGGCCCGGAAAGGAGGTTTTAGAGGCTGCACAGCAAAGTAGGAAACTGAGTTGCACACCAAACTCTAAGCCAAACCTCAAAGAGGTATTTCCTAGGCCCTCTGTACCCATCTAGTGCCAAATGATGGAAAAGCCCCGAAGTCAGCACTAGGTATAGTATAGTCAGTGGGGCTCAGGGAGCTCTGCTAATGGGGGTTTCCTGTCTTCAACTTAATCTGTGCCTGTGGTACATCATAAAGGGTATGACAGAAGAAGAGGTAACACTCTTGGCTTAGATAAAACTCCATTACCTTTAATTACCTCCCTAAACTCCCAATTGTGTAACAATTGAGCCTTCCCTGAATCACTGTAGTTGCAAAGTCGAACCCTACACAGCTAGACTTGGGATGTGATCTTTCCACCACCATCACATAGATCCACGGACATTTTCTCCTAACTGTGGAAAGGCACAGGCAGGTCTCTGAGACCAAGAGACCTCACTTGCAGACTACAACAGGCCTGTGGGAGAAATGTTGGTCTGAGAAGCAGGAGACCCTGCCTTGTAATCAATCACCTAACACCTCAGGCAAGTTAATTCTCTGAGGTTAGGTCTTGGTGTCCTTATCTGCCAAAAACAGAGAATTTAGAAGATTCCCAGACTCTACCTACTTCCTACAATAGGAGCCAAGGTGCATCCTCCTAGGAGCATGAGGGAAACCTCAGGGTCTGAGGGGAGGAAGATAGACTGGTGAGTGTTTCTATGAGGCAAGAGTCCTTTTCTCCTCCTACTCTTGTCCCCTAGTTTTTCAGAATGGGCCTTCTCAAGAATCCATTTTTAAGAGTTTTGGTTCAACCCTTAACAAAAATGTGCAAAATCTCACCAACCCATTAATATGATGCTTTCGATTTATTTCTGACTCTCTTTAAACCTATGTGACGGTTACGGGAATTTGCGTTTAAGAAGTAGCCTCCAAGAACAAATTGCTTCTATAAATGGGACACCCTGCTCACCCTCCTCCCTTGCCCAGCTCCATCAAGCTCCATCGGTACAAAATATTGCCAAACCTTCAAATGTGACTTGAAGTTGAAGGAAAACTTTGTATACAAATAGTTCCTAGTCAGGTGCAGTGGCTCACGCCTGTAATCCCAACACTTTGGGAGGCCAAGGTGGGGCAGATCACTTGAGGCCAGGAGTTCAAGACCAGCCTGGTCAACATGGTGAAACCCTGTCTCTACTAAAAATACAAAAATTAACCAGGAGTGTTGGCGCACACCTGTAATTCCAGCTACTCAGGAGGCTGAGACATGAGAACCACTTGAACCCAGGAGGCGGAGGTTGCAGTGAGTCAAGATCGCGCCACTGCACTCCAGCCTGGGCAACAGAGCGAGGCGCTTTCTCAAAACAAATAGTTCCTTAGTGATATATTTCAGGACTATCACTTAGACTGCTTTAAAGGTTATCCAAAATATTATATTCCACCCCCTTCTCAATGGGTGCTGGGGGGGGCCAGATTTTCCGTCTATGGCATGTTCCAGTTGTCACAGGGGGAAGACAGGTGGGGAGGAAGGACAAGGCGGGAGCCTGTTCATTTAGGAATTCCACCACTGACCAGCTGATACTTCCTGTGACAAGTGGAATTTTTTTTTTTTTCCTGACAGGTGCTCTGGCATACAAACCAAGCATACACTAAAATCAGCTTAGGAATAATTGTTTTCTCTTAGAAAAGCAGAATACTGAGAGAAGCAGGGAACTCCACTTTCTAGCTTTAGGTGGTTGGGTTTTTTCTTCCAATAAAAGCTCAAAATAGGCTAATCAGAGAACGACCCCCTTCCTCTTGGAGAAGGTCCATTTCTCCTTTTCCTCTTCACTTTTCCGTAATGTAAAATGAACAAAAGATCCTATCTACACCTGATAGGAACAAAACAGATATGCATAGGTTAAGGAGAGTACCTCAGATTGAGACAAGAATGTCAAGTTGCTGAGTACTTAGCAAACTTATATTGAGTCTTTTGCATGGACTCAATACTATATTTTATCTAGAATTTATAGACAAAACTTATAGCACAGCAGGCCAGACAGCATGGCTAAACATGTTGTTACTTGTTCTGTCAGCATGAACTCAGATTTTTAAAGCACTGGCTAACATAGGTGACAAGTTATTATTACCTTCCCTTTTCTCCTTGCTTCTGGGGGTAAGTCTAAGAAGCTCTGGTTCACGAAAGGGATCTAAGGAACACTATGTCTCCCACATCTACCCACACTTATCCAACCTTCACCCAGTTTTTAGGAGCCGCAGTTTCTTGAGAAACTGGGTTATGAACAACCATCAATTCTGTATCACTGATTCTGGTTTCTTACATCCCCTTCAAAGAGAGAATGCTCTGGGATAGCATGGCTTCTTCCCTAATCAGTGCTAGCTCTGGAGAAGCAGAAATAGGGAGGCCAACCACACAGCCATGGGAAGGAATAAAAGGCAATGCCTGCCTGATCAGGGCTGAGCCATCTTCCCCCTCTGCAAAAACTGAGGCATAATGATATTTCAGGCTCTCCCTATGTCAGGTTCCTGACATGCACCATATGTAGCTGCAAATCCCAATCAATTTCAACATTTCTTAACTGCTAGAACACCTTTCTCAACACTGTAATTTACCTTCAAAAGAATAGGGAGCAAGCACCCTCGCCTTCCCAGTACCACATTCTACTAACTGCCGCCCCCCTCCCCACCCCACTAACCTACCTACGCAAAGGAAGAAGGCAAATAACCCTCCATCGAAGCCTACGACAGACCGCCACAGTACATATGTCACTGACGAAGAACTTTTATTTCTTTTTAATGACATTAAACACAACTGCTACAAGAGAAAAAACATGATAAAGAGGAGGCACCAAACTTCAGTTTCATAATTGAAACTAACAACGCAAGTAAATCAGGGCCTGCATTAGAAACTACAGGTTATTTCAGGCTCCTTACTTATAAGTAAACAATGTAAACAGCATATTTTTACTCTGCTTTGTCAAGACCCCCATGGTGGGAATGTCATCATGGATGAAGAAAGCAGTTAAATGCACATAACACTTACTTAAAAAATAATACAGCAAGAATTCCAACTGCAATATTAGACTTAGAGGCCAACACCAAATATAAGAGATACCCAGCTTTGAAAAGAGATGAAAACTCCAGATTCTACCCACTACCATCTTTAAGGCGAACATGCCAGATAATGAGTTTTCTTTGGCTTTGTTTTTTCTTCTTAAAGAATACCATGTTAACCACTAGAGAACAGCTCTCTCCTCCCCCAGTCCAACAGATTTAATTAAGCTGCTAAAGCTTTGGAAAAACAGAATTATTTGAGCTAAGAGGAAATGTGATTGTCACATTTTCTAGTTAACCTGTCACTCATTTGATTTGGCAAAGGCAGTGCTCCTATTACACATTCAGTCTCAAAACCACATGTACCAGGAGGGTAAGAACATGAGTCTTAGATTTTTGCCTAAGCAAAATCCTGTCCCTTCACTCCTTGGGTTTTCTGTAGGGAACTAGACAGCTGCAATGCTAGCTATTCCAACTACATTTAATTTTAACTATGCTGTGGTCCCAAAGGTGGATGTTTGGCATGTCTCACTCCACCAACCTAATTTAGGGCAGCCTGGAGAAGTGACCGATGTAGTAAATGCCAAGTAGGCTAACTAAAATAATAGATTTCGACAACTGCCTTTGAATAGAACTTCTCCTTTGCATTTTGGCCCCAGAATTTAAACCAAATGTTCAAGGAAAAGCAAATCCTTGACTGGGTAAAAACAGTAAACACTTAGGGACATTCACCCAAATTTATTGTTGGCTTAAATGACCAAGCTTTCCCCAAGTCAGTTTCTAAAGTGGGGTAGGATGTTTAGGATGCGTTACTCACACAGAAAGATGGGATTGATGAAATCACAAAACCAGACAGAGGCTACAGCAACTATGAACAACCTTCACAGAGAATGAACAACAGCACAAATGCCAGACTGCAAAACTTCCCAAAATGATGTCTACAGCTATCTGTAGAGAGTAACTGGCCAGGTACGGTGGATCA